GCCGCCATGGCGCTGAAGATGGTGAAGGGCAGCATCGACCGCATGTTTGACAAGAACCTGCAGGACCTGGTGCGCGGAATCCGCAACCACAAGGAGGACGAGGTGAGGGCACCCGGCCTCCGTCGCGGAGGGGCTGCTGGCTCCTCTCGGCGTGTCCTGGCGTGGCCGGCTCCCTTTCGCGTCGGTCCGGGCTGGCTGTCACCCGTTTCCCAGTCAGGTCCTGCTCCTCCGGGGGGGGCAGGGAGGGTGGGAGCCTGCCTCCACCCCGCTCCAGGCAGGGGAGGCTGCGCTAGGCCCGGCAGCAGTCGGGTGTCTTGGACACCCTGGAAAGGGGATGTTGTTTTGGGGATGGTGTAAGCAGGAATCAAAACGAGGAACGTGACGCTGGGGTGTAAGGCAAAAGGGAAGGACTGTGGGGAAACAAGGAAGCGTTAGGGGAGCAATGAGTTGAAAAGGAAGGTAAAGGAGGGTCATGCTAGGTACTTACTTTCCCATTTAGCGTGTTGTAGTGGTGTTGAGATCCCTGATACGTAGTTACGTTAGGAGGAATTCTTGTCTGCTGCCTTACAGTCAGTACTGTAGTCAGCTATGTATTCTTCATCGTGAAGCAGATCTGCAGGAAAGCTGAGTTCAATCATAATTCATCTGTCAAATTATCCATGATGTATATCTTCTGACTAAAATGTATTTTCTTTGTTTCCAAGCTTTTGTAAGTAGAAAGCAATCGTGTGTCTTGGCCTCTTATTCTCCCTTGTATTAGAGGCACGTGATCATGAAATTAGTATAGGTGAAATAATTAGTCATCAAGAGCATGTTATGTGACACTTTCCACATTGAAGTGCTACTTGTTAATTGGGGAGTAACGGACACTAGGGATATCATTTATGTTCACCTTGAAGCAAGTAGTCACGGCCTTAGAAGCTTTCTTATGAATGGTCTGACAGTTACACCTTGCTGGAATATCAGTGAGTTGCTGTGGAGTTAGTGACAGGCTAAAAATATTTGTAGGCTATAGCATCTTGTCATAAGAGTACAACATCCAAATGGTATAACCTATGAAAAGTATCTGGAAAATGTGTAGTCTTGTAACTAAAACAAGTATTTAAATTATAAAACTTAATTTAATTGGAACTCTTACTGTAATCTTCAGTGCACTGTTGCACTGAAACACAAGATCCAACTTCCAAAACCACTTCATTTTTCAAATGGCTTTTAAGCCTATTGTACACAGGACAAGGTGATATTTGCTAGTAATGATACCTGGGAAACTTCTATTTTTATTTTAGTATACATGAAATTTCTGGGTATTGATTTGGTGACAGAGGAAGATAGTGTTACTCTGAAGAGTGCAGTGCCCTGCAAAATGTGGGAAACTGTATAGTGGAAACAGCATGTTTACGTGGACGGTTAATGTGTGACACTCAAAGCTGGAACAGCTGAATGGTAACTCCATGGAGCACTTCCCCATAGCATGCTTAGGCCCAGTTTGTATGTTATGCTGCTTTTAGTAAATACGGTTTATTCTTTTGCGCGTAAGACGGAAAATGTTTCTTCAACTGTCAAACCTCTGAGGATCGCCCTGACAAAGGTTCAGGCCTTTGTGGCACCAGTCCTCTGTGAGGAGGATTGAACATACATTCTCATTTCTAAAATAATTTTGTGACAAATAGCTCCTTTTCCAGGACTTCATATATATATTCAGAGGATAAAGAGCACAAGTGTTGTAACACAGTCAGGATTAACAAGTTCCCGTGCATCTTAAGCCACACCAAGTTTGTTCTGTGGCAGAAAATACTTAAAATGTGTTGGCTTTGATCTCCTTTAGAGTTAGGAAAAATACTCCTCAGACAATTTTGTAGGGCTCTGTATATTTGAAGGAGGTTGTTACACAGGTATACATACCGTCTAGGAATCGGTGAGGTCAAAGCAAATGTGTTCTCTTACTGTAAGTAAGAGGCTGATGTCAGTTGCAATAGTTGGACTGTAGCATGATAGTATTTTAAATGATGGTAGCTCTTTAGTTTGAAATACAAGTTGCGAGATTTTAGAATAGGTAACTGTAGTTCCTTTTTATAGCCTCATGTGCCCAGCAAAAATGGAAGACTGAACTTCAGGATGTGTTCAGCTGATCAGTAGACATTGCACTGATGAAATGTGCATATTCTGTGGCACGGACTGCTTAATTACATAAAGTGGCTACAAACAGCACAGGACTATTACTTTCTCTAGATCAGCTACTGAAGAGTGCCGTAAACCTTCTGCTATTAAGATGCTGGGTGTTGATTCAGTGCTTCCCAGGCAATGGTCATGGATGTTTTCTAGTTTTCAGGTGATGTTGCAAAATCAGAATGGTATTTTAGAAGTAGTAGCTGCAAAAATTCTTCCTCCTTTTCCTACAGTGCTTCCATTGTTCATTGTATCTACTAAGTGTTGCTCCAGTACTGGATGTAGTTGTTAAACTGACATTTATGTGTCTCAAGATAAGTGTCTAAGCTGAAGGCACACACTTTGTCCTATTCAGAAGATCAAATTTGTTTAAAACAAAACAGCACCGTGCTTTGATGGTAAGGATATTAGCTGTTGATCTCAGCTCAACAAGAATTACTGTGTGAAAGAGACGTCTCTGGAAAGGAGGTACTGTGCTTCTTAGGTAAAAATGACATGGAAAGAATTGAAGGCATGAGCCTTGGTTTGATTTCTGTTTTAGTTATGCCTTATGCAGAGGTTAATTTCTGTTGTGTGTGGTGGTTCTTGTCTTTGGGAATTTAATCACGTGGAAATTCTGCCATCACTTTTTCCCTCATCTTTCTGGGCAGTCTCTCCTGGTAGATAGGATATAGTAAGATTTATTCCTTTCCAATTCCTCCACGGGTACCATCACAAGCAAGTGTATCTGGTATTTCACTGATGCATCAAGGATATGTTTGTAGTGCAGGGTGTGCCAAATGGTTGTCACCTCTGTTCAGACATGGCTTTCTCAATACAGCTTTTCAACAGACCTGCTGCATTCTTGCTTGACGGTTATATGTTCATCCTGTATTGCTGGGACTCTTAAGCATGTGCCCCAAGGCTTGTTGTGAAGTAAATGGAGCACCACGAGCTCTTTAGCAATAAATTTTAAGTGTTCTTCTTGGCTCCCTATAGGAACTGAGCAGGTACTGGAGGCTGCCTAGCACTTTAGCTCACATCCTGCTGCAGAGTGCTTAATTACCTGTCAGAGGCCGTTTTCATTTTAGTTTCTGGTCTGTATCCAAAGCTAACCCATTTATTTTTGACTTTAAAACACTGAAACTGAAGTGATGGTCTTCTGTAGGGATGAGAGGTAAGGGACAGGAGTTAGTTAACCCAGTCACTTTTCTGTGCAGACATACTCTGTCCATTTTCCAATCTTCTGGGGAAAATTGGAGCCGCATCATCCTTCTGTGAAGTAGATGCTAGTGTGGAAGGAAGGAGGTAGCATAACAGCATTAGATCGTTTCCTAGTTTGACATGTTGTGTTTACTTTCCAACTTTCTGTACAGATGCTTTAATCCCTGTGGTGTTTCCCAGTGCCAGGTCCAACTTTCAGGGAAAGCCAAATCTGCAAGAAAGACTTGATCCTATTCCATTCTTCCCTGACGTTCACTTCTAATATCTCACCCTCTCTCATTTGGAAAATTAATCCTTTTGATTGTGAAAGCAGTGAGTCTTTCATCTGCTATTAGGTGGTTTTGTACCCTGTGGAATGACTTCTCCCACTTTGTGCCTGCTTTTTATGGATATGCTATACAGCATGCTTAAGAGGGGAATGGCTTGTACCAAGGTTGTTAAAAGTATAATGGATTTTTTTCCCAAGATACTTCAAAATTAGAAATTATTTCTGTTTAGGGATGTTCTCCAGAATGTGAAATAAGTAAAGGATAATCCTTTGACGCTATTTGGCTCTTGCACAGTGTTTTGCATTTGCAGTTAAGAAGTTTGTTGTTCCCAAGAAGGAAATTACTGTCAAATGCTATGGCGAGAGGTGCTTTTATAAAACTGAAATGATAAAATAACAGAAACAGAGATGTTAAATGAGTGGTGCTTTGCCCTCTGTGTTTCAAGTGCCTTTGATTTACTGGAGGACACTTAAGGAGAGGGAAGGGGTTAAAGTCCTGCATGAAATGTCGTCACACTTCTCTTATAACTGGAGAAAATTGCTTCCCACTTCTTTCAGAGAATCTGCTACTTGTGTGCCAGGATCAGCACTTCATGTTTTTGGTAATCGATACTTTCAGGAAAAACTGTATTCAAAATTTCCCATTTTCCTGTGTGTAGTATTCAGCTTAAAAGCAATCTCATTGCTGATTTGCTTTTAAGAAGTTGCTTTGTACAGAAGCAAGTTGGAGTGAAAGGAGCGTTCGGTGTTTCTGGCTGGAAAAAATAAAAATTAATTTCAGTTGATAATATAATGCTAAATGAGAGGCATGTTGAGTGTCCATGTTGTGAAATACGTATTTCACTGCTCAAAGACTGCGCTTACCAAACTGGCAGCATGGTCTCACTTCTTAGTGACTGTTACCTGAGGACAGTGGAACTTGTATTGTTAAAAAACCTTTTCCCTTCAGTGAAGATCTGCTGCGCTTGACTGCACACTTCCAGCTATTTCTCTGACACATTTTCAGATGAAATGATGGCGTAAGGAGTTCTGAGGAATCTTTTAACATCACAAAAGTCTTTTGGG